ACGTGTTCAGGGAAAATGCTTAAAAGGAGCTCACTTTGTTACTTTGAGGCTATGGCTTTAAACTCCCTCCTCCCCAGTACAAAATATTTGATGTTAGATGATGTCAAGGAGGATGTTTTTGGCCCAATGAAGATAGTCTAAAAATATACAGGCTGGATGGCCTGCTTCTTCTAGGAATCTCTCAAAATATGAATGCTGAAGAGAGCATGAAAAATGGAGAGAATTTCCTTGAGCCCAGACAGGAGCTGCATCTTGTGGAGGTAGAGTAGCCAGCTGCATAATATTTAACAGATCATAATAATTATAATTAAAACAGGATACATTTATTGACTTTAATAGACAGTTTTTTTTAATTTTTGTATTTTTTACAAACACACAATTGACATTTTCACTATTTCAGATATATTAGAGAATCTGGTTAGAACTTCTGTAGGGAAGCAACATGTAGCTATCTATAACTAAATGCCATTTCAAAAAGAAGCAGAGTCTGTTAGAAGTTTATCCCTAAATGTATATTTACATTAAAGTTTGAAAAGCACTTACACAGATTGTGCTCTCTGACCATAATGTACTCATATTAGAAATAAAAAAATGAAAATACAACATAGTTATTTCACAGCTAAGAGTTTTATAGAGTTCATGACATATTTCTTGCTACCCATCTTTTTGATAAATGTGACTCTAATATGAAAATCAGTTTCTATAATTGGAGCTCAGATTTGTTATTCCTCCTATCAGTTTTCTAATGACACAATTGCAAATTAGAGAGAATGATCCTAAGTAAATGTACAGTTTGGTAAATAGGTAGAGGTCAGAATAATCAGTAATTTTTTTTTTTTTTTTTGGCGGTACGTGGGCCTCTCACTGTTGTGGCCTCTCCCGTTGCGGAGCACAGGCTCCAGATGTGCAGACTCAGTGGCCATGGCTCACAGGCCTAGCCGCTCCGCGGCATGGGGGATCTTCCCAGACCGGGGCAAGAACTTGTGTCCCCTGCATCGGCAGGCGGACTCTCAACCACTGCACCACCAGGGAAGCCCTCAGTATTTTAATAAGCCTAATAGAAGCCATAGATGCTCTTGAGAGAAATAAATTACCTGGATATAAACAATCCCAAAGGCATTTCTTAAAGTTCAATTTATGCAGTGATTTATTCATTATGAGCTGATGTAGGTTGATGAGTGGCAGGTTAGGTTTTTAATTCCTTTACATTATTTCATGGAGAATTATGGAAGCATTTATGTCTTATGTTGGAGAATTCCTCACCATATTGGCTATATTAGCTATATTAGTTACACACAATTAAAATACTTTCAGAAATTTCTGATTCCACACTGAGCTAGAATATATTACATTCAAATATTATCTTTGAACTAAAGTCCAGAAATAGCATAAATAGCAATTATTTAGAAAGAAGTATACTTTGTACACTTCCATTTCTCTGTTATGCCTTGTGGCAAGATGGAAAAAATTGCCATGATTCAGACTTTTCATTTTGGTACAGTCATATGCATAAAAAGACGGAAATTAGAGAAGTACAATAATTTTCAAAATATGTGATATACTGTTAAGTACAAGGGATCTTTTTTCCCCTGAGTATTTGTTATTTAGTGATATTTTTCCAAACCTTGCTGCTCTAGGATTGTGTTGAAATAAAAAAATGTCACTTTTAAAATTAACCCTAACTCAAATATGGCTCTTAAATAAATACTATACTGAGATATCAGGAATCTGTCCCCTGATAACTTGCAGAAAATACAATGTAAATACAAGGGAAATCAACCTAAGAGTAAAATTTAAAATCTTGCTAAAGATACAGGATCCTGTGAAACTAACCAAAGTTCTGCTGGGGAATTGCTTCAATCACACTCTATGCCCATGGAGATTGGACAGAGTTAGACTGGTTAAAATGGAAGAAGAGAAAGTCAATAAGAAAATAAAAAACAGAGGCCATTTAAAAGATAATAATTTATATATTAAAGATTAAGAGAGACAATTGGAAATCTGAGGAAGGCTTAAAATAATTTCATTAAAATATCATTAGTCAAAGGAGAAATAAATGATGCAATAAAATAATATGGTGTATGTTGAGGTTGGGGGCATGTTGGAAACCACAAAACTCATAATTTTAAATGTGCTTTTGTGAAACCTCAGATAAACTTTAGAAATGTATATGTTTTACTGTTTAAAAATCCATTTTTTTCACCATTTAATGTGAAATCCTGGTCCCCTTTAATCTTGGTTTTGTTTTACGCTGTATAACCTCCTGAGCCTCCATTTCATATATATTCATACATACACACACAAAAAAAATACACATATATACCAAATGGCTTATGTGTAAACGGTTATTGAAATAAAACACATTTGAAATGTAAAAACTTAGGATGCTAAACAGCTCTAGCATGTTGCCTCCTCAAACATAATTACTGTTCGTTCCCCAAAAAGAAGTAGTGTAAAACTGATTTCCCTGTGAAAAGAGCCTTAATTTCTCTAACAGCATACATACTGTGTGTCCACATATGTAGACAAATGTCCACAAAGAATAAAACATCTTTTAAATGTAATATTGGAATGGAGGATAGGAGGGGAAATCTGCTTATTGGAAGAAACTGTTCTTCCAGAGATGTGTAGTCATGATAGTCAGAAATCTGGAAATTATGCTTTATAATGAATGAGTTAAGAAACTTGGAAATTTCCCATATAAGGGGGAAAAAATTTTGACAAAATGAAAGTTATGGTCAAGTGTTTAGGAGATGGGTTAGAATGTTCATGGATTTCTGCAATCAATAGAATGCCATCCAATGAGTGGAAGAAGAAGAGAATAGTTAATAGCATTATATGGCAAACACTATGGCAAAAGACTTGATGCTTTGCAAGTATTAAAAAAATAATGATGGCTCAACTTAATTTACTTGTTGTCAATAGAGCTTTTGAAATACCAGGTAGGTTGCCTCCTGAAGTTGTGTGCTCTTTAACATTGGATGGGGCCTGCAGAATACAACTCACTACCTCTTGAATACTTTGCTTAAGCCATTCTAGCACTAGAAATTTTGGATCTTTAAGTGAAACAAAACTTTAAAGAGATTTAGTCAGAATCTTCTTTCATAACTGGGTTCATTTGTGGGTCAGGATTTAGACTGACTCTTGCCATGGGAACACTATGTTTACTACGGAATCTACTAAAATTGTGCCTGCCAAGTGAATTATTTTTAATTTAAACTCAGGCCAGAGTGAGGGTTCCAATTACTGGTAGCCTAAAAATATTGTCAATCTTGGATTGTGTTCTGAGGGTTGACAAGTGGATGCAAATGACCTTCCAAAGTGCCTAGCACATAAGTAGGACATTTAGCTAGCCTTAATTATATAATGTTTGCTAACTGGGATATCACAGTATACTGTAAATATGCAAGCTTTCTTAATAATGAGTATTTGCTTTGAGAAAATAGTTCTAATCACAATAGGGTAATATAGGCATAGTGATAAAATTTATAATAGATTTAGATAAGTTTCATTGCCCAAGTTGGTTCTGATTATTTGCTTATTATCTCTTAAAAATAATCCCCCAAATAACAGTCTACTTTTTTATGTTAAATGAATTATTCCTAAAAGTAGAAAATAGAAGAAAAAATTTCTCTTAACATAAGACCTCAGTGTAGTTGAAGTGCATTAAATTCCTTCCTCCATTTATTTTGAAAACTTATTTAACATACACAGTAGGTTGGGCTCCACATGTAGCAAATACAGCAGGTGCTTTTGTTGCTTAGCATCCGGTAACAGCTGTGTTGGACAGTCCCTAGCCACACCACTAGATCCCACCTCAGCTGTCTCTGCTTTTATGTCTTGGACTTTTTCGGAAGCTGAGGGATCTTATTGGGGACACATGGAGGATAAATACCCACAAATCAGCCCAGACATGTGGATAGGCTAATGCACTGAGGGCAACCTTGACCAAAGTAGACAAGAGGCAATATACAGCTGCTCCATCTCTCAAAGATTCCAGGGAAAACTTCTGATGTACCTTCTTCCTAGATCTTCAGAAGGTCCTCATAGTTATCTGTTCCTGTGTAACAAACTACTCCCCAAATCCAATGGCTTGAAACAGCAGCACTTGTTTATTAATTACTTATTATTCTGTGGCTCAGGAGTTTAGGAGTGGCTCATCTGGGTGGTTCTGTCTCAGGACCTCTTATTAGGTTGTAACCAAGATGTCAGTTGGGTTACAGTCGTATGAAGACTTTACTGGGGCTAAAATATCCTCTTCCAAGTTCCCTCATGCAGCTGTTGCTCAGAGGCTTCAGTTCTCCATGTAACCATCTCCACAGTGTTGTCTGAGTATCCTTACTACAGAGCAGCTGGCTAGCCCAAGAAAAGTAAAGAGAGAAGGAAGAGAAGGCACGCTTTGACCATCATTTAGCAGTGAATCACTAAGTACAACATACACTCAGTGAGAGAAGAAAATAGAGAAGGGTGGAACTGAGCCCCAGCACACACAGTGCTTACCCTTATTTTAAAAGTTTACTGACTATCCTGTAATCAACCTTAGTCAATATTTTCTATAGTACAGGCATAGGTATTTTATAATACATACATACATTCATTCATGCACACATATGTATATACCAAGCTACCTATGTTTAAAATAGAATGGAAAGAGTAAAGTCTACAGTGATTTAGCCCTATGATGCCTGAGTCATTTTATTTTCCCTTTTTCTTTGTGGCTATGGTTGCTTTTAGATCAATTGGCCTTAATTTCACTGAAAATACTAATAGATATCCATTAAATTATCTCCTATAAATCAACTACTAATAAATAGTAGTTGATAATACATGACTACTTCATGTCCTTAATTTTATAATAAATGACTACTTCATGTCCTTAATAATAAATAAATGACTACCTCATGTCCTTAATTTTATTCTTAATTTGGCAAATATTAACTGTACAATATGGACTCATGTGTATTATATAGAGATATGTATTTTTCACTTTTCTTTCTTAGATGTCTCCCTGGATTTTCTGGGAAATTTTGTGAAATTAACATAAATGAAAGTTCTTCATCACCATGTCTAAATGGTGTGAACTGTGAGGATCACATCAATGGATATATTTGCAAATGTCAACAAGGTAATTATGAAAAAGTAATGATCATGCAAATGTCACATTTATTTACAAAATATATGTATTTATATATGTGTATTGTATATGTGTGTGTTTGTACAATACAATTTTGACAATCAACTCACTAATAATGTTGTTGACTATCAACCAGCTTCTAGGCGTTGATCACACTTAAAAAATATGAAATTGTTGTTCTGTGATACTAGTAATCAATCCTTTAGGCTATCAGCAAGAAATCCTGGTGCTTAGATCATGGTATCTCACTACAGGTATTTTCAAAATTTATGTAAGCTTCAAATTCCTGATCTTTATCTATATCCATTATGCCTGGTACACAAGTCCTTTGTAAAAACTGGCTCATTAATATTTACATTATTATTACTGCCAATGATCATCAGTATAGAGATGGACTGGTTGGGTGAACTGATTTTATTCAAGGGGAACTTTTTTATTAACAACACATCTTTTGGGCCATTTCTGCCTTTGCTCATATTATCTTTAACTGTATACTGATATAAACAAGTTGTGTCCAGGAATCTTCTTCCCTCTCTTTCCTCTAGTTTTCTAAACTTTCAAATTTGTTGCTTTTTACCTGTGACTTCTATCACTCATCTTACCTTCAAAATTTAGTTTCATCCACCCCAAAATGATTTTGAATACGTGAATTTCCTTGAGCAATAATAATCTTACAAGAATATATGGGGAATATTTTTGGTCACTAAAAAAGAATTCTCACTATTCACAAACCCCAGAGAAGACTTAAGATAGCTTGTGGATACCCTAGAGTCTGGGCTCCTGGTTATTTGAACCCCCAGAGGAAATAACAACCAATAATTCTTACAGATAAAAGAAGTAGAATAAAGCTTACAATGCTCTGATAGAAGAAATAAATACCATTTAAAAGCTTTTGCTTTTCCCCAAAAAAATATCTTTCTCAGACAGCAAAAGCCAGAAGAACTACAATCCTGCAGACTGTGGAATGAAAATCACATTCACAGAAAGATAGACAAGATGAAAAGGCAGAGGGCTATGTACCAGATGAAGGAACAAGATAAAAGCCCAGAAAACCAACTAAATGAAGTAGAGATAGGCAACCTTCTAGAAAAATAATTCAAAAAATGATAGTGAAGATGATCCAGCACCTCAGAAAAAGAATGGAGACAAAGATCAAGAAGGTGTAAGAAATGTTTAACAAAGACCTAGAAGAATTAAAGAACAAACAAACAAAGATGAACAATACAATAACTGAAGTGAAAAATAAACTAGAAGGGATCAATAGCAGAATAACTGAGGCAGGAGAAAAGAAAAGTGACCTGGAAGACAGAATAGTGGAATTCAATGTTACAGAACAGATTAAAGAAAAAAGAATGAAAATAAATGAAGACAGCCTAAGAGACCTCTGGGACAACATTAAATGCAACAACATTCACATAATAAGGGTCCCAGAAGGAGAAGAGAGAGATAAAGGACCTGAGAAAATATATGAAGTGATTATAGTAGAAAACTTCCCTAACAAGGAAAGGAAATAACCAGCCATGTCCAGGGAGTGCAGAGAGTCCCATAAAGGATAAACCCAAGGAGAAACATGCCAAGCCACAGAGTAATCAAATTGACAAAAATTAAAGACAAATTATGAAAAGCAACAAGGGAAAAGTGACAAATAAAATACAAGGGAACTCCCATAAGGTTAACAGCTGATTTCTCAGCAGAAACTCTAGAAGCCAGAAGGGAATGACACCATATATTTAAAGTGATGTAAGGGAAGAAACTACAACCATGATTACTCTACACAACAAGGATTTCATTCAGATTTGATGGGGAAATAAAAAGCTTTACAGAGAAGCAAAAGCTAAGATAATTCAGCATCACCAAACCAGCTCTACAAGAATGGCTAAAGGAACTTCTCTAAGTAGGAAACATAAGAAAAGGAAAGAACCTACAAAAACAAACACAAAACAATTAAGAAAATGGTAATAGGAACAAACATATTGATAATTGCCATGAATGTGAATGGATTAAATTCTCCAACCAAAACAAACAGGCTCGCTCAATGGATACAAAAACAAGACCTATATATATGCTGTCAACAAGAGACCCACTTCAGACCAAGGGACACATACAGACTGAAAGTGAGGGGATAGAAAAAGATAGTCCATGCAAATGGAAATCAAAAGAAACCTGGACTTGCAATACTCATATCAGATAAAATAGATTTAAAATAAAGAGTGTTACAAGAAACAAGGAAGGACACTACATAATGGTCAAGGGATCAATCCAAGAAGAAGATATAACAATTATAAATATCTATTCACCCAACATAGGAGCACTTCTACACATAAGGCAAATGCTAACAGCTATAAAAGAGGAAATCAACAGTAACACAATAATAATAGGGGATTTTAACACCTCACTAACACAAATGGACATATCATCCAGACAGAAAGTTAATAAGGAAACAAAAGCTGTAAATAACACAATAGACCAGATAGATGTAGTTGATATTTATGGACATTCCATCTGAAAACAGCAGATTACACTTTCTTCTCAAGGGCACATGGAACATGATCCAGGATAGATCACATCTTGGGTCACAAATCAAGCCTTGGTAAATTTAAGAAAATTGAAATCCTATCAAGCATCTTTTCTGACCACAACGCTATGAGATTAGAAATAAATTACAAGGAACAAACGTAAAAAGCACAAATACATGGAGGCTAAACAATACTTCACTAAATAACCAAGGGATCTCTGACAAAATCAAAGAGGAAATTAAAATATACCTAGAGACAAATGACAATGAAAACATGACAATCCAAAACCTATGGGATGCAGCAAAAGATGTTGTAAGAGGGAAGTTTATAGCAATACAATCCTACCTGAAGAAACAAGAAAAACCTCAAACAATTTAATCTTACACCTAAAGGAACTAGAAAAAGAAGAACAAACAAACTCCAAAGTTAGTAGAATGAAAGAAATCATAAAGATCAGAGCAGAAATAAATGAAATAGAAACAAAGAAAACAATAGCAAAGATCAATAGAACTAAAAGCTGGTTCTTTGAGAAGATAAACAAAATTGACAAACCTTTAGCCAGAATCATCAAGAAAAAGAGGGAGAGTACTCAAATCAATAAAATTAGAAATGAAAAAGGTGAAGTTACATTGGACACCACAGAAACACAAAGCATCATAAGAGACTACTACAGCAGCTCTATGCCAATAAAATGGACAGCCTGGAAGAAATGGACAGATTCTTAGAAAGGTATAACCTTCCAAGATTAAACCAAGAAGAAATAAAAAACATGAACAGACCAATCACAAGCAATGAAATTGAAACTGTGATTAAAAATCTTCCAACAAACAAAAGTCCATGACCAGATGGCTTCACAGGTGAATTCTATCAAACATTTAGAGAAGAGCTAACACCCATCCTTCTCAAACACTTCCGAAAACTTGCAGAGAAAGGGACACTCCCAAACTCATTCTACAAGACCACCATCACCCTGATACCAAAGATAGTACAAAAAAAGAAAATTACAGACCAATATCACTGATGAATATAATGCAAAAATCCTCAACAAAATACTAGCAAACAGAATCCAACAGCACATTAAAAGGATCATACACGATGATCAAGTGGGATTTATAAAAGGGATGCAAGGATTCTTCAATATATGCAAACCACTTAACGTGATACACCATATTAATAAATTGAAGACTAAAAACACTGTGATCCTCTCAGTAGATGCACAAAAAGCTTTTAACAAAATTCAAAACCCATTTATGATAAAAAACTCTCCAGAAAGTGGGCATAGAGGAAACCTACCTCAACATAATAAAGGCCATATATGACAAACCCACAGCAAACATCATTCTCAAAGGTGAAAATCTGAAAGCATTTGCTGTAAGATAAGGAACATAACAAGATGTCCATTCTCACCACTATTATTCAACATAGTTTTGGAAGTTTTAGCCACAGCAATCAGAGAAGAAAGAGAAATAAAATGAATACAAATTGGAAAAGAAGTAAACCTGTCACTATCATGGATGAAATGATACTATACATGTATAATCCTAAAGATGCCATCAGAAGACTACTAGAGCTAATCAATGACTTGGTAAAGTTGCAGGATACAAAATTAATGCACAGAAATCTTTTGCATTCCTATACACTAACAACAAAAGATCAGAAAAATAAATTAAGGAAACAATCCCATTCACCATTGCAATGAAAAGAATAAAATACCTAGGAATAAACGTACCTAAGGAAACAAAAGACCTGAATGCAGAAAACTACAAGACACTGATGAAAGAAATCAAAGGTGAAACTAAAAGATGGAGGCATATACCATGTTCTTGGATTGGAAAAATCAATATTGTGAAAATGACTATACTACCCAAAGCAATCTACATATTCAATGCAATCTCTATCAAATTACCCATGATATTTTTTACAGAACTAGAACAAAAAATCTTAAAATTTGTATGCAGACACAAAAGACCCCAAATAGCCAAGGCAATCCTGAGGGAAAAAAAAAACAGAGCTGGAGGAATCAGGCTCCCTGATTTAAGACTATACTACAAAGCTACAGTAATCAAGACAATATGGTACTGGCACAAATATAGATCAATGGAACAGGATAGAAAACCCAGAGATAAACCCATGCACCTATGGCCAACTAATCTATGACAAAGGAGGCAAGGATATACAATGGAGAAAAGACAGCCTCTTCAATAAGTGGTGCTGGGAAAACTGGAAAACTACATGGAAAATAATGAAATTAGAACACTCCCTAACACCACTCACAAACATAAACTCAAAATATATTAAAGACCTAAATGTAAGACAGGACACTATAAAACTCTTAGAGGAAAACATAGGCAGAACACTCTGACATAAATCACAGCAAGATCTTTGACCCACCTCCTAGAGTAATGAAAATAAAAACAAAAATAAACACAAAGATCTAGTGAAACTTAAAAGCTTTTGCACAGCAAAGGAAACCAT